ATGTCTGTGTTTCTCCACCACGTCATAAGGTAGGCACGTATTCCATGTGTTGTGCTGTGAGGGATGTTGAAAATCTGTTCAAAGTAGGTCCATATTTGGTTGCTGTAACGGCATTGTTTCATGATATGATTTGCTTCTTCTTGATTATCCCTGCAAAGAAAACAAATAGAGGGCAAGCTCTGGCCAAAACGTGTTAGTGTATTAGGGAGAGGAAGGATGTTTTTATAAAGTTTCCATAAGAAGAGAGATACTTTAGGATATTGATAAGAATTCCAGGTGTTGACAAGGAATTTGTCAGGGGGTATGCTCCAAAGCATTGTATGCTCTCTTTATACTGAAGCCTGGGTGGCCCTCATTCCAGCAAATGGTGTTGTGTTGGTTTAGGTGGAATAGATTATAGGCAGTATCATTGATATGGTGGAGCCTTTTCCAAATAGGGGAGTCAGTGGGTTTGGGTGGGGAATTGAATCCCTTGGGATATCTTTTGTGGATGAAATTTGCCCAAAAGGAGTTCTTGTGAGTGTAACTCCACCACATTTTCAACCCATAGGAGTCTTGAAGGGTATCCAGATTATAAATGCCCAGCCCTCCTTCCTCTTTAGGGTTGCAGATGTCCTTCCATGTTGCCCAGTAGTATTTATGGTTGTCTCCTTTGGAACCCCAGAGGAAATTGGCCATTTTCCTGTTGAGGCATGTAGTGACACTTTTAGGGAGTTTGGTGGTTCCAAGGATATGTAGAGGAATGGAACTCAAAACATGTTTGATTAGGATAAGTCTTCCACTTTGGGAAAGCAGGTGCTTAGTCCATCCTTGGAGTTTCTAATCAAAGTGTTCAAGAATGTCCCCACAGTAGTTTTTCCTGTTGATTCCTCTGTGGATTTGAGTGCCCAGGTATTTAAAGGGAAAGAAACCTCTCTGCATGTTTAGGATTTTCCCCATCTTAGAGGCCTGGGCTGTGGGTGTCTTGTTAGGTGTGTAAAAGAAACTTTTTTGTAAGTTGATAGCTTGTCCAGTAGCCACCTCATAATCTTTTAAGAATTTAGCCAGTTTCTGTAGATTGCTAATTGATCCATTACTGAAAAGAATCAAGTCATCAGCAAAAGCAAGATGGGATATGGGTAGTAGGTGTCTGCCCATGTTGTAGATTTTCAAATTCCCATTGTTGGTGTCCACTTTGAGGGTTCTGCTGAAACTTTCAGCAGCTAAGATAAAAAGGAGAGGAGATAAGGGGTCACCTTGCTTTATTCCTCTTTGGGGTTGGAATGGTTTGCAGGGGTAGCCATTGATAAGGATAGAGTGATAGGTGTATTTAAGGTTGTTAAGAATCAGGGTATTAAATCTGTCACTGAATCCAAACTTTTCAAGAACCATGACCAAAAATTCCCAAGAGACTCTGTCAAAGGCTTTGGAGATGTCCAGCTTAATGGCAATATTTCCTCCTCTTGATTTGTAGTTAATTCCATGGATCAATTCTTGAGCAATCAAGATCTGATCATGAATCTGTCTGCCTTTGATGAACCCCCCTTGTTCAGAAGAAATAAGGTTAGGAAGGAAATGTCCCAGTCTCATAGCTAGAATTTTAGTGTTAATTTTGGCTATGAAATTGGAGAGGCAAATGGGTCTATATTCATCAAAGGAGGAGGGGTTTTCTTTTTTAGGAATAAGGATGATGGTGGTTTTCCCCATGGATTTGGGAATAGGGATTCCCAGGAAAAATTCCTGGACAGCCTTGATCACATCTTCCTTGATAGTGTCCCATCCTTGTCTATAGAAGTCTCCTGTAAACCCATCTGGTCCAGCTGAGCTATCTGGATCAAGACTCCAAACTGCCTCTTTCACTTCTTCCTCAGTAGGGAGTTTGGTAAGAGTAGTGTTAATTGAGTCATCCACTAGGAGAGGGATATTGTCCAGGAACTTGTTCATGCCCTCACAATTGTGATTGGAGAAGAGGGCCTTGAAGAAGTTAGTTGCCTCATGTTGGATATCATTGGTGTTCTCCAACCAGTTGCCATTAGAATCTTTGATTCTATGGATTTTTTGATGGATTCTT